ACAAGGACCCATTGAGGGTTAAGCGGTTTCAGAAAATGGATGGATGGAATACAGGCTTTACTTTATATTTTTTAAAGTTCATAATTATCAATAATGAGTTAAAGAAATACAACTGCTGAATCGATGTTATATGAGAAGCGTTTAAAAGTCCAAATATAACGTTGATGCTGATAAAATATTCAGGTTTAAGACTAACCCACGTTCAGTTTTTTCTCCGATCAGAACAATAGAGTATACGGATCAGCAAACACAATTACTACCCATCGAAAGTCCGCATCGACTGGAAGAATGGGGAAAAACTATTTATGCTATAAATTAATACATATCAACACATTCGGCCGTAATATATCGCAAACGACAAGAAATATAATGAAACAATTACTAAAGATGAAAAACAAAGAAACCTGGATAAGCTAATTAAAGAGAGAAGCGAGGTGGAAAATTGAGGGAAAAGGGAGAGTTTGAGTTGGTCTTACCAAAAAGAACCACAAGGTTTTTCATGTTCGATTTTGATTGAGCAGCTCTTGCTGGCAACAACTAAATGGTAACTGAGAAGAGTAAATGACTTTATAAGGGACTAATACAGAGGGCAATGAAGAAGGGAGGGGAAGTGTTATTGGAGCTTGAAAGCATACAAAGTATTTTCACATTTTCATCATTTCTTGGTGCTACTTATTACTTCCAGATGATGCGTGTGTGATAGCCTGAACGTCCGATCCTCTTGTGTGCCACGCCCCCTCATTAACCACGTGTGCAATCCCGATAGTGACCAGCTGTTTCCTGTTATTTCGATTTGTCTAATTTTTTTTCCTCATCCTGCCATCTCCCTGCTGCCTGTGCGCTGTCCTCCTCCTGCCATATTCCATCGCGTGTGGAATATTGTTTGTTTGGTTAGGGAGTAAGGGTTCTAGTATTGTTGTTTCGTTTCCAGTTGTTTTTGTTGCACTTAGGTTTAGATTAGTTTTGGGAGGTGTTCGTTAGTTGTTTTGTTTGTTGTTTTGGCCTGGGTCACTTCCG